CCAATGTATGATCTCTCTCTCTCTCTCTCTCATATATATATATATATATATATATATATATATGGAAGAGGTTATATCTGTTCCAACGAGATAAAAATGTATATTTTAAAAAGAAAACAGAAACTGCGAACGTTTTTGTTTATAATGTGTTTTTTTTTAAAATATGTATTATGCTTTATTTTTCATATTTGTGTTACACGTGTTTCCGGTCTTGTGATCTTCATCAGGCAAAGAGTGGATATTTCCACATATTATTAAAAGGAATTAATTTTCCTTATGTTTTTCGATGTTTAACCATTGTCTCTTTTGTGTAGTAGTAACCCAAATGTTTTTCTTGGACTGGTGGCAAAAGTGTTTTCACTTTAAAAATAGGGAAGTCGCCGATACAATTTCGATCGGTAATTTGATCAGGTCTGTGGTTGAGCCGGGGTCTGTTACTCGGGACGTGGAGATAAAAAAAATAGTTAAATATCCTTCTCTTGCTGACAGATTTTTTTTTACTCTGGTGGCAGTTGAGACTTCTGGGGTTTATTGGCCTTCGTTCGCTGGCGCTCCTTTTGAGGGTTGGCGGGATGGTATTTCGATTAAGGGACGAACCTCGCGAAACGGAGTGGCTCTTGCAGCGTGTCGCACTGGTGATTGTGTAATGCTTTCTCCATCCTTTCGGCTGGCAGAGGATAGCAAAAAAAAAAAAAAAAGAAAAAAAAAATTTGTTTCTAGATACTTTGTTCAAATAAATGTTAATTACTTAAAAAGAACCCCCCAAAAAAAAAAACAAAAAACGGTATATGAGTGCACCACCAAAACCAGAAGTGGACTGCTGATCTTTCCGCTGACCGAGCTCTAACAGCTCAGTGGAGTGGCTGGATACATTCAATGCCATAAAAAGCAAACTAGTTACGTTCCATCATCGCCAAGCTTTCACCAGTCACGATGAATGGATGTTCCCTCAGAGATGCCCCGTGCCTCATCCTCTATTGGGCCTTAAACTCAACCCAGACCTCACGTGGAGCTTGTACATCGCTAAAGATGTTGGAAAGATAGTAGGTTCCCTGTACCGCCCTAGTACGTACTTGACTCCTTGTGCTCTCCACTACCTTTACAAGAGAAGTTCAGGCCGATGATGGAGTACTGTTGCCATATATGGACGGGAACTGCCCAGTCTTCACTTCCCAGTTCAAAAACTTGTGAGTGACGATTTATCTTCCACCCTACAACTTCTTTCCCCCAGACGAAATGTCGCAAGCCTCTCACTGCAATATCGCTATTTCCATAGAAAGTACTCAGACGAATTATATTCCTTTCCCACCAGTTCTATCCTTCATGGCTAGGACCCGCCATGCCACGCCCATAATAGAGGACCACTCTCATTCTCTTCGTATTCCATTGGTGAGATGTAAGTTCCACTCGAACAGCTCTTCCCGCAATCAGTTGCTCTGTGTAACCGACTCCCAAGAGGATGTTTTGCCGATCACTACAATCTTGGCCTATTCTGGTCTAAGATTACCCGTTATCTTCCTCACATATCCGCATAAACTGTGTCCCTTACTCTGTAACCACTTTATCTCGAGTGGCTCCCGGGCCTTGTACAGGGTGAACATCATTGCAAAATAATAAATAAATAAAAATAACGTACCACGAATCTTTATCAGCTTTATACACACTGGCGTGAACAAGCAGCAAAACAACGTGGGGATTGATTTGTCCGGTCGGTGAAAAGTACAGTGTGAAGACCCGTTGTATGTAGTAGTAGTAGTAGTAGTAATTTGCATCTAATGATATTATTAAAGGGTCGAGCTAAGTGGAAGTGACTGTCTGAAGTAAAATTATAGTCGAAAGTACCGAATATTGGGGGTTAGAATGAGTCGACGTGAGACCTCCTTCTTTCCCAGCGGATGTTTTTTTTAGACGTTCCATCTTATAAGCCGTCAAATACGGTGCTTCCTTTTTAGCTATCAAGTTTTTCATTGCTCGCTAGAATGAACATAAATACAAAAAAATTATTATTGGGTTATATTTTTTGAAAGATGGTGAACGGTAGATGAAAGCGCCTTTTCAGTGGTCGAACGGAGCTTTGAAAAACACGCGGGAGTGTGTGTGTTGATTAATTTGAATAAATCGTCTGCAGTGTCAAAAATTATGGCGTTTATGCTTCATCACCAACATAGAATAAGTACAGCCTTACTTTAAAATTTAATAACGCCATTTTTTGTTGTTATAAATTGGGTTTGTTTATGTGTGCGTGCATATTTACAGATCTTTCAGGTGTCCAACACGTTCAATGTGCTATGTATGAAGGTCTCAATAAATATTATAAAGAAGAAAAGAAAAAGATTCCAAGAAAAAAAGCAGGAAAGAAACGGAAATGAAAAGAAAAAGCAGATCTCCCAAGGAAAAGAAAAAAAGAAAACAGAAAAGGAAAAGATAGAAGGAATCAGAAAAGAAAGAAAACAGTAATGAAGAGAAAGAAGACGTTCATATAAAAGAAAAAGAATGAAGATATGAAGGAAAAATGAGAGTGAGAATAAAAGAAGGTGAGGAGAGGAATGAAAGAAATAGAAAATACAAAAGGAAGAATGATGGAAAAGAAAGAAAGAAGGATGACAGGGAACAGAAAGAAAGGAAGAAATCGAAAAAGAGAGAAAAAGAGTAAAGAAAGAAGATAGCAAGAGGAAAGAAAGGAGGAACATAAGGAGAAGGGGGAAGAAAGAGAAAAGAAAAAGATTGTAATGTGTACAAAAGAAAGTAATAAAAGAAAGGAAAAATAATGAAAGAAAAAGAAAATGTCGGTAGAAACGAAAGAATAGAAAACAAAGACTGAAGATGGGGATAAGAAACAAAGAAGATATTAAGGGAAAAGAAATAATGAAAAGGAAAAAAAACGATAAGAAAGAAGGGAGTAAGAGGTAAGAATGATGATAGCGAGAGAAAAGAAAAAGACTAAAGAAAAAGAAAGAAAAAAGGAAAGAAAATGAAGATAGTGATGGAAAAGAAAAAAGAAGGTAGGTAAAAAAAAAAGAAAAGAAAAGTGACGCAAAAGAAAGAAAAAAAAAGATCGCGACAAACAAATAAGATAAAGAAAGAAAAACGAACAGGAGAAGGAACGAAATGAACGGAAGAGAAAAGGACAATGCTATAAAAGAAGGAACTTAAAGAAAATAAGGGCAAGAAAAGCTCATAATGGAAAAATGAAGAAAGATACAAATGATAAAGAAAACAAAAAAGAAGAAAAAAATAGAGAAAAGCGGAAAAAAAAGAAACATAGAAAGAAAAAAGGTCGGGATGAACAAAGTCTGAATCGATGAATGAATAAATCAAGCAGAGGCGTCAATTTCAATTTAGTAATCACAGAATAATTTTTTAATGTCAGATCCCTTCAAAAAGCAGTTGATCATAGCTCTCCGAAATTTCCTTTTATTATTATTATTATTATTATTATTATTATTATTATTATTTTATTTCCTTTGATTTCCGGTGTGTACTCATTTCTTTCCGGGTCCCGACCAGAGACCTAAGATCAGAAATGGCATCATGACATTTTCCACATAGCAATTTGAAAAAAGAAAATCGCACATATTTTATATAGATAAAGCCCTTCGTAAGGTGTGGGCTGTACTCGTTAGAACATTTTGTTTTGTATTTCTTTACGGCATGGGCTTGCCAGGAATCCCTTCAATGAGTCTATTAGAATCTTTTCCAATCAATCCGAGGGCTCCAACTATAACAGGCATTGTTGATGCTCTCATGTGCCACATTTTTGAGATTTCGATTTCAAGGTCCTTGTATTTTGATATCTTTTTGAATATCTTCAAAGATACATTGCAGTCTGCAGGGACTGCCATATCAATAAGGAGGCAATTGTGTTTGTGGCTCTAATCCCGATGTCAGAGCAATTTGTTTTGATTGTTCTGTCTGTGTGTATTTTGAAGTCCCATAAAATTGTTACAGGTTCTATCTCCGTAATCGGGTATGGGTGGTGTTACCAATTTCTTTCAGTTTCCTTTCCATAGAAGTTGAAGATTTTCCAGTGCAGATATTGGCTCACACTGTCGTGCCGGGTTTTCAAGTGTGTGCCAATACCGTGCAACCTGATACAAGATGGTCAATTGTTTCTGGATATTTATCACAGAATCTGCATTTTGGGCTAACACAATTTTTCAGTATGTGTTCTAGTTAGCAAGCACTGGTCATGTGCAGCAAGAATAAAACCTTTGGTTTCAGCTTTTAACCCTGCACTACATTTAACTGATGGCTATGGGTTTTGTCTACGTCAGCTTGGTTGGTACGGGCAGAGTATTGACCGTAAAACGGTTTATCTTACCATTGTTTCTGTATCTGGTCGGTTGCATTTACCATTTCTTTCTTTTTTTAAGTATTTTGCAGCTTAAATCAGTGTATTGTGCTTTACTTTTATTTCTTCATCCATTATCATTATTATTATTATTGGAAAATATAGTGAAGTGATTTCTTGTTGCCCTTTATGGGGTTTTAAATTAAGTATAGTTCTTTTAGACTTGTTTCCATCCAAAGCTATAGAGCTCTTAGTCTACCCAGCAATTTAACTCTTAGCTGATGAGAGGAAAGTAGAGAAGAGACGAATTCGTCAGTGCGAAAGTCAATGTAACAGACGAGACGAGGATTTGAATTCAGCTCACCGATTACATTTTCTACTCTACAACCATTAAACTGTCCGCATATCCCGTTACACTGCCCACAAATCCTTACAAAGTACTGCACAATCATAGCTCAAGAAGCGACCCAAAAAGTATCAAGTAAGTTCTAGTACAATGTTGCGAAGTTCTTTGAGGATACGTTTTCTAACTTGTTCTAATTAACATTTCTTTTCAGATAAATGATTAGAAATATCAAGCTAAGTAAATAGAAAGGCTGGCTTAAAGGCAAAGCATCGGGATTTAGAGATTGCTCGCTTCCTGAAAGTTGTACGGTCGTTTGTGGTCCTGGTTCGCAAAGAGCAGAAAGGGATTCTAGAGCAGTTGCCAATGGCCCTAATACCATCAGATCCCCCAAATTTGTACAAAAGGTTTAGACAATTACCGATAAGAAATCTAGAAAGTCAACGTCTTTGTTAAGCCATGAGTTTAAAGGGAAAGAAATGTACACGATGACCTCCATTACAAGTCATATATGATTCAGAGAGGCCAATTCATGCCGACAAAGACAAAAGATGACCGTCTTATTCACGCAAGATGCTTATTGAGCAACTTGGAAGAGCAAGAACCTGGAAAGATTTCGTTTTTCTTTTGAGAAAAAAATATTTGACCAGGAGCAAAAGATCTATCAAAGGAATAACAGTTATGCGGTGACCCTAAGGACGTTCCAACGATTATGCACACAAAGTTTCCGCCAATGGTCCACGGAGCCGGGAGCAACGAGGAAGATGTCATACGTCCTCATTTCCTTCCTCAGGGCTTACGAGTCAATGCTGCCGACTATAGGGACCTGTTGGAGAGGTTATTAATGCCTTGGATAGAGAGCTGGAGCAAAGGAATATTGTTCATCTACCAATAAGACTCTGCACCGTCTCATAAGGCCAAGATGACCCAGGAATGAATGATTTACAATCTCCATTACATCACACCATATATATGACCTCCTAACTCTACAGACATGAATCCGTTGGACTATTTACATAAAGAGCGTATTTGAGAGGAGGGAAAGTCAATCAATGCTCCCATAACACCATAAAATCTCTACTGTCCACTTAACCTATCACAATTTCCAAAATAGATAAAGATCACCGGATTCGGTCTGGTCAACGTTCTAACTGTCATCAATGCTAACGGTGGACTCGTTAAGAAGATGCGACAAGAGTCTCAAGGTTATTCATGCCATTTTTTTTCTCAAATAAAGCTCTTCTTTCATGACTTATGCGCGTTTTACTAAATTAATGTAAATGAACTGAGTAATTCTGTAGTTTTCTCTCCTTCTCTCTTTTCTTTATTTCTCTCTCTCTCTCTCTCTCTCTCTCTCTCTCTCTCTCTCTCGTTTACACATATGCACACACACAAATATAATTAGTTCTTTTTTTTTACAGTCTATAGTATAGCTAGAGATAAAAACACAAAATATCTTCTAGTGGGGGTGTAAATTTCCCAACATATTCGCAAATAGAAATCGAATCATTTCTAACAAATATTGTCACCTTTTCATTTTTAGTCTTTTAATTGGGAAACGACAACGTTAGATGATATTCATTAATTAAAACATTATCAGAAATTTTAAGATGGATTCCTACTTGTTCTTTATTTAATTCTTTTCTTAGATGTGCCGCGTCAATTCAAGACGTTAGCGATCACTGCTCTCCACAGTTTTCTGTCCTTTGCTATCTTTCCTAAATTCTTCTCCGTTATCCATTCATTCAAGCTCGCCAGGTAAGTTATGTGTTGTCTTCCTCTGTTCCATTTGCCTTTAATACGCCTTGTGAGTATCAAATTTTCCAAGCCATCTTTCTTCATTATGTTCCCTAGAAATTTCAGTTGTCTCTTCCTGGTGCTAAATGTAAGTGTCTTTTTTGTTGCCATTGTCTCTAGAACTTCGTCGTTGCTCACATGATATTCTCAACATCCTTCTGTAGAACCATATTCAAGTCTTCTGTGAGGAGATTGTCCAGTATTCACTGCCAGTACCGGGAGGACTGATATTACATAATAGTTTATTACTTCTTCCTTTGTTTTTTACTAAATGTTTCTGTTTCTTAATACTTTGCTTAGCTTCTGAAAGACACCTTTCGCTATTCCAATGCACCTTCGCATTTCAGTGTTGCACTTTCCATCTTCTATTAAAACAATTCTCAGATACTTAACCTGTACTTGTTTGATTCCAGTATCTTCAATTTGTAATTTTCATCCTGGTCTCTTCCTTTTGCGAGCAAACATATATTCTGTCTTCTTGCAATTGATGTTTTGTCCTTTCTTTTCACTTTCTTTCAATGCTTTCTGTGGTTCTTGTTTCCTTTCTATGTCTGCTATCAACACTGTGTCATTTGCATATCCTCTTAAAATGATAGCTGCCAATAATGAATACTTGTATATCTCTCAGGATCGCCTCACTGTATAGTTTGAATAAGTTACTGAACTCATTTTCTATCCGTATGAAGGTGGTTTACTGGCAGTATAGGTTCTAATTCTAATATCCTTCCCAAATATGTCATGGTTACCTAGCAGTTCCAACAGTTCTTTGAGACATACGTTTTTGTATCATCTATAAAAGACAAGTACACATCCTTCTGAATTTGTATTGCTCATTCTTATATCATTCTTAGCATAAATATTGCATTCCTTTTACCGGTGTCTTTAACGAATTCGCGCCGTTCTTCTATTTCCAGCCTGTTTTTACTCTATACATCAGAATTTGGATAAGTTTTGTTATATGGCTCAGTATGCTGATTGTTCATTGACGTCCACATTCGTTTACACCTGGATTCTTAAGCATTGTTATGAAAATGGATCGGGTTAGGTCTTCCTGTATATCACCACTGCTGTATATTTCATTTATTATGTCTGTAATTTTGCCACTGCCGAAATCATCTTAGGCTACCAGTAACTCTGTTACGATTCCGTCTGATCCTGCTACTTTGTTTCAGTTCAATTTGGCCATTGCTGATTTCAATTATTTTAATATTTCTGGTCCTTCGATATTTCTGTGTATTGTTGTGGAAGAGTTCAAAATATTTTTATTTCTCTGATATCAATGTCACGTCGTTTGATCTTATGCACTCTCTTTATGAGCAGCAGGTATCTTGTCCTGTTGATTTGCTTTTTTTTTCATACATATCTGCATTATCTACGATACTCATTCTTTTTTTCTCTGCACATTTTTCGCTGAGCCATTTTTCAGCCCGCCTAATTTCTTTGTGGAGAATCCTATATTCTGTGCCGTACCTTGGCACTGTTTTTTGTCTCCTTTTCATCACATCAAGAATTTAATCTGTCAGACATGCTTTTTTTCTTTGTCTATTTTTCTTTGTGATGATCACGATTGCTTAATGTGTCCGACTTCGAGTTTACATTTTCCTTCTGTCCATAGTATCTGCTTTTAAACACTGTCCATATATTGCTCCTTCATATTCGGGCAATACAGGAGAATTTCGTATTATAATTTGGGTGCTGCCTTGGCCGTCTTCAATTTTCATAGTTTCACATATCACTGGAAGGTGGTCATGCCCGCAGTCGGTATTTGGGTATATTGTGCAATGTAAAACTGCATTCCTGAATCTCTTATTGATAGTTATATAGTTGATTTGGTTTTTCGTTTCTCATCCAGGTCTTCTCCGTGAGTTCCTAGTACAAATTTGCCAAGTATTTCACCATTTCGTCTCCTTGCCTAATTTGGCATTCAGGTCTCTCATGACGATAGGCATTGGGCCTTGACGTTGTCTAGTGTACAGTAAAACATTTTTTCTTCTTCCCTTTGATAAAGATGCTGAAAGGCTTTCCTTTCAGTTTAACGACAATAATTCTTTCAGATATTTGACAGTATCCCAGAACACATTACTTCATGCCTTGGTCTAATATCAATCCTACTCCTCTTTCAGGTTTCACTACTCCTGCTTATATGATCCTGTGTTTGTCACTAACAAAAATTGTTTGACCACCATGTTTCACATACGCCTAAAATATAATTATTTAACCTGTTCATTTCCTGTCATATATTTTGTAACTGGTCACATTGCCTTATTGTTCTGATATTCCATATCCAGATAATTAGTTTTGTTTGATGTGAACAGTCTTTGGAGGACAATCCGGTGACACCTGTCAATCATGTTTCTCTTACTGGGCGAGGGATCAGTTACAAGGAGTTTCACTTCATTTACACCGTTTTTACAAGCAGTTGCTGGATGACGGCCAGGTGACACATGCTGCTCATATTCCTTCTTACGAAGCGAGGAGTCAATTGCAATAGACTTTAAAATTCTCCTCGAATCCGTTAACTTTTATAATTTGATTGTTAAAAGCCACGAGTTTTCATGGGATTGATAATGGTTTGGTTTCCCGTTGCCTTCTCCATGGTAATATATTGAGACACCACATTTAGTTAGCTTTCCGTTGACTCGTCAAAAGATCTTCCGCCATTTGATAGGCTCTCTCCCGACAGACTAGCTCTTCCTACCCATCTCACACGAAGAAATTGGAATGGGGGGTGCCAGTTTTGTCGCCGACCACCCAACCAAATGTATACAAAATATATAACCAATATATATATATATATATATATATATATATATATATATATATTATTATATATATATATAATTATAATTATATATATATATAATTATATTATATATATAATTATATATATATATAAATATATATATAATTATATTATATATATAATTATAATCTATATATATATATATATAATTATATTATATTATATATAATTATATATATATAATTATATATATATATATATATATATATATTATATATATATATATATATATATATATATATATATATATATATATATATATATATAGCTAATTTTAGTGTTAAATATACGCATACATATACAAAATATATATTTACGATTCCAATGGAATAAATTATGACTAAATTCTATTTTTATTTCCGGAGTTGTTTTTTCTGTTTTCTTTTTGAATTTGTAGGTCTGATGAATTGTATCGTATTTACGATTCCAATGGAAGAAATTATGACCATGGAATATTAGTGTTTAAGCCTTTTTGTTATATATATATATATATATATATATATATATATATATATATATATATATTATTATATATTTTTTAATACCTATACTCTGGCGGTGTGAATAAAAACGGATAATCCAATTTATAAAATAAAAATATATTTGAACAAACCGATATCAGGGAAAAATTCAGTAAAAAAGAAAAGACGAAAGTCAACCGTGTTGGTCGAAAATAATCAATCAGCACTGCAATGCCTTGTCAAAAGAAAAAAAACAACGACAAGGTAAATTAAGTAAAAACGGAAAAGTGCTCAATACACTAAGTAGAGCAATAATCTAAAAAAAAAAATCTAGTGAGCCAGAAGTTACCTAACGACAGGCGAAAGCTTGGTATGTAGGTTCTGGCTCACTAGGTCATATATCTATATAAGTTTAAACTTAGTTAAAGTGCTAAACAATATTATTTTTTGTTTTTTTTTTAATATTTTTTTAAAATTCAAAGTTCTCACCTTGACTTTCTGGAGTTAATAGTGAAAGAAGTTTTTTCTATTCAATATTCGATCACAGGCAAAAAGTTTCATAGCTGAAAATCAGAAGTTTGGATTTAAAAATAAAATTTTCCCCCCTAATTTTTTCATGCCTGTCGAAGATGGTGGCAGGATAAAGCATATCTACAAATGTAATTTTTTATGTTGCTTTGTATATATAATGCCAGGATGTGTATCAAGTGGGTGATTTTTATCAAATGTTTACGGATCTGTAATGTTTTCCAAGTGTTGCCCATATTTCTTTTCATTTACCCAGTTTATATTTTTTCTGTAGTTTTTTTTTATTCCATTGTTGAATGTTTCTCTTTTTTTTTTCTTTCATTGGTAATCATCAGTTCAGAGAAATGATAAATATTTATTTAGACAATCGGGGTTTTATGCATAAGCTGAGACTATTTTCATGGAAATGAAAATATCTAAAACAGAGAAGAAGTCTATAATTAAACTTTATCATGAAATATTACATTAGAAAGTAAAATCTTAATTTTAAGCTAACACTAATGGCCCCTCCCTCATCCGTCAGTTTAATTTTTATTAAATTCGCCTAGAAGCCAGATATTCCGAATAAGAAATTAATCGTAGGGAAGTCATGGAAATTCGTGTGTTGGTATTTTTTTTTAATAGTGTGATATAGATAGACATTCTGTTGTTCAATGAATTTACTTGGGTATCATTGATGATTGGTTAGTTTTAATCACGTGAACGAAGACCTTCGCGTCCATCCAGGCATTTGGTCTTTCATATTCCGTTTGCAATATTCATTTATTCACATATTTTTCAATCGATTTATTTTGCTTGTTAATATTTTTATTTTTTATTTTGTCACTGCTATTTTCACAATTTAATAAGTATTCAGGTAAGGCATACAAACCAGACACTCCTTGTTTCGGACGGAAGGAAGGAAAACAAATAAACTTGCTAACCAAGGATGACGAAGCAAATTATATTCTTTTTGTACTCTATCTATATTTCCTTTCTCTTTTCTTTTCTCCCCCCCCTCTCTCTCTCTCACGCTCTCTCTCTATTTATATATTTGAGAGAGAGAGAGAGAGAGAAAGAGGAAACCAACTAAAAAGCATAAAAAAAGAAAGAAAAAAAAAAAGAAAAAAGAAAAAGAAAAAAATCTCATAAAAAATGTCGTTCTAGGAGTGACCAAACAGAATTTTGCTTACTCATATTGACTCACTAGCCGCCCACTCTAATACATATACACGTTCACCCTCTCATCCTGTTCTGTATTCCTCTTTTTCCAATTCAACTACTTTTTTTTTCTTTTCCTTCTTGAGGCCTTTTCCTTTTTTATTTCTTTTTCCACTGTTATCCTCCTCTTTACCGCATTTTCCTTGGTTTTACAATGTAGTTTTCTTCTTCTTCTTCTTCTTCTTCTTCTTCTTCTTTTAATACTATGCATAGCATATAATTCACGTGCCATCTACAACTGCACTCGTTATCAAATCCATTCACACTTTCACGCCATTGTTACCTTTAAAAGAAAATCTTTTTTTTTCATCGTTTTTTACCCATTTTTTAAAATCACGCCTCCGTTTCTCTTACCCTCAATCTCCTTCTCCTCGTCCTCATCACCATTACTAACATAGTCTTCTTCTATGTGCCGTGACGCTTCAGGACGCGAGGCGATCATGGGTCTCCATAACTTCCCGTGTTTTGTAGCTCTTAGCAAGCTTTGCCTTTTTGCTATCTCACGTAATTCTTGTTCTGTTAACCGTTAACACAAGCTCGTTAAGCAGGTGTTATGTACTGCTTTCCTTTGTATCCCTTGCCTCCAATATGTCCTGTGAGGGTCAAATTCTCTGCACCCTCTTTCCTCATTACGTGTCCGAGAAATCTCTTAAGGCTCTTTCTGATTCAAAGTATAAGTGTCCATTTTGTTTCCATTTTTCTTGAAATTTTCTCGTTGCTCGCATGTTCAATCCATGTGTTCTCAACACCCTTCTGTAGAGCAGCATTTCTGTTATTTTAAGTTTCTTCATGTATCATAAGATTGTCCATCATTCACTGCCACAGAGGGTGACTGACATTACATAAACGTTCAATAGTAATTTCTTTGTTTCTAACAATATTTTACCTGTTTTTTAATACCTTGCTTAGATTTTAAAAGGCCATATTTTTGCTATTCCAATGCGTCATCTGATTTCGGTGTGGCATTTTCCGTTCTCTGTTAAAACACTTCCCAGATATTTGAATTGTTGTACTTGCTTGAGTTTGTTATACTTGCTTGAGTTCGCATCTTGGGCTCCTCCTTTTGCTGACGACCAGACATTCTGTTTTTCTGACAATTGATGTTTAGTCCTTTCTTCCCTGCTTCATTTACGATCTTCTATTGGAGTTCCTATGATTCTTTATCATGTCTGCTACAAGCATTCTGTCATCTGCATATCTTATATTGTTGAGTTCTGCTAGGACTTCTAATTATCTCAGAATCGCTTCACTACATTCGTTAGTACCACCAGTTCAACTTGCTTTCTATTTCAATTTGTTGCCATCTTACTCCATATCCAGCATCACTATGTCTGTATGCATGTATATCATTTTGTAAGTATCTATCCATTTATCTTTCTATTATATTTTTTCATATCTATTACAGTTTCTATCTATCTATCTATCTATCTATCTATCTATCTATCTATCTATCTATCTATCTATCTCAGTCTATTCATACCTATCTATCTCAGTCTATTCATATCTATCTATCTCAGTCTATTCATACCTATCTATCTCAGTCTATTCATATCTATCTATCTATCTATCTATCTATCTATCTATCTATCTCTATCTCAGTCTATTCATACCTATCTATCTCAGTCTATTCATATCTATCTATCTATCTATCTATCTATCTATCTATCTATCTATCTCAGTCTATTTATATCTATCTACTTATTAATCCAAATAAAATGTCATCTTTCTTTATCTCAGTATGGTTCTATTTATATATTTGATTCTCTCTCTCTCTCTCTCTCTCTCTCTCTCTCTCTCTCTCTCAATTCCTGTGATTTCCTTTCTATGTCTGCTACGAACATTGTCATCTGCATATCTTGAGATTGTGATCTCCAATAATGAATCCTGTTAGGAATTCTAATTCTCTCAGGATTGCCTCATTGCATAGGTTTGAATAACTCCCGGTGAGAAGACACATCCTTGTCTTAGGTCCCTTTTGATTTTCGCATATTTACTCAATTAATTTTCTGTCCGTATACAGGCGGGTTGCTCCCAGTATAGGTTTTCGATTATTCTAACATCTTTCCCAGATAATTCAAGATTACCTAGAAGTTCAAACATCTCTTTGTGTCATCGCTTATCAAATGTTTTTTCATCTTCTATGAAACATTCATATAATACCCGTAAAAAATAATGTGATTCTATACGTATAGATCACCTATTATGTCTAAGATCAAATTGCTTTACGATCTGCCCAAGACCAAAATACCGCTTTCCGGTTTTCTCTGTGTACCATGCCTGGGATCAAAAGTTGCCTCTCCGAGACGCTCTGTAAAACATATTTTATTGTTATACGCTATTTATATATATATATCAAATATACAAGTAAATGTTCTGTTTATAATAAACAGTATTAACCAGCCTGAACGTCCGAGAAATTTTCATACAAATTATGTATCTACTCAGAGGAGTGTCTGCTTAGCAAGGTCAATTTTACTGCTTTTAAAATACAATTTTTTATGATTAAGACACTCCTTTGTAGCTAAACTGGTATAGCACGTCAGGCTATGTGACAGTTTCTGTGTAGGATACAAGTTCGATTCCTGTCAGAGGACACATATTTTCTATGAAAATTTCTCGGACGTTCAGGCCGGTAAATGCTGTTAATACTGTTTATAATAAACAGAGCATTTACTTAAATATTTGTGTCTATATGAATAACGTATAACAATAAAATATATCAAAATACTTGTCGGACTTTTACATTTCGGAGTGTGACATACACACACACACACACACACACACACACACACATATATATATATATATATATATATATATATATATAGCTGCTCGTTTCCGAGCACACCAGTCAGCCAGAGTGGTTACTAAATCCTTGTCGCAGATGCCTGCTCAGTCACATTTGTGTTTGTTCAACAGCCACATATCCTATTTGTGGTTTATACTGCAACTATGCTGAGTGAACCTTAGTTCCAGTTTCTAGGAGAGACCACATAATCTGGCCTGATCAACGGGCCAGTACGCTGAAACCCTTGGTGACGCTGACTTGTGACTTTACACTCCCCCCAACACACTTCAAAAGAATTAAAGGATTTATTTTTAATCCGACATTTTTATTAGATCAAACGTTCTAGTAGATACCCGTATTTGAAATAGACGTTTTTTGTTTTGTTTTTTTTTTTAATTTTAAACAGCTTGTATCCAATGCTGCGGGAGAGTACATTTTCTTTATAAGATTTCTTGATTGGACAGGCAGATAAATATAATACACACTGTTTAAAGTAAAAACCGGGCTTCTATTTCAAGTACGGGTATCCACTAAGAAGTAACATTTGAAGTAATATAATATTATATAATATAATATATATATATATATATATATATATATATATATATATATATTTAGTTTATGCAAAACTAGGTAATCCGTATTGGTAGACCCAAGGAGGATGATATCCAGAGAGCTCAATGTAAGTTCAGAGCAAATATGTTTGAATAAAACAGACCACTTTAAGGTTCCATGTAATAAGTTATTTCACCACAACCCTTTTAAAGGGCTCTGGATCATCAGACTTTAGATCCAAAAGTTCTTTTGGATCTAAAGTCTGATGATCCAGATTACATAGAACCTTAAAGTGGTCTGTTTTTATTAAAAAAAATAAAATATATATATATATATATATATATATATATATATATATATTAGTAATAGTAGCAGTAGTAATCACTTGGCTACTTCAAATATTTTATACTAATAGAAATAATAACAAATCTAATAATTTCTTGAAATTACTGCATAAACGTTTCGGGTTGGTAAATATTGTAAACAGTATAAGACATTGAAAATTCCAACGAGAGATGAGCATTTCATATAAGAAGTAACTAAATTTGGCTTTGTGATGGACACTTTCTTGGCCAATCGATGAAGCACGCCAGGCTGTCAAAAAAACCCAAAAAAAACGTGGTTTTTCAGGGCAAAGGTAATGTAGGTTCGATTCCGACGGAGACCTTCTGTTGTCTTTGCTGGTGGATATTAATTTCACTGTTTTTAAAAAGAATGATATTTGGTGAGGATGATCAACCATATCCGGGCATCCATTAAAATAACTATTATAATAATATTATACTTTTTTATGTGCATGTTCACGTTGTATTTTGGTTTAAGGCCACATCACGTTGAAAGACCAGTTCGTAGGATCACTAAAGTTAAGCAACGTCGAGTCTGGTCAGTACCTAGATTGGAGATCGCTTGGGAAAACAAGGTACTGTAAGTTTGGATGTGCGGGTGGCGTAATGCCTAAAGGCTCGGAGACCCGAGTTCCAAGTCCCGTTGGGTTTGTTATATTCACTTAAGCATAAATAGCCTTGGGAAAGGTATGAATCCACCTCTTCTCCCCCAGCTATGGGTTCATAAGTAAGACGTGTATCACTAAACAATTATTATTTCAAAAACATTCTTACAATGTAAAAATATTTTCTGGCTTTAAATAACCTGCAAAGGGTTAATTAGCCGTAGAAAACGAATCAATCAATTACGCTGTGTTTTATTTTATTTTTTTTTTTTTATAAGTCTACTGACTACATGGGTGTTAGCAAAAGGTATAGCCCAACATGCAGATTACAAACTGGGGATATCGAAATCAAACAAGTGCAACAAGTTAAATATATGGAAAGTGTTTTGAAGACGGATAGTGTGACACCGAAATCCGAAGATGTATTGGGATAGCGAAAGATGACTTTCAAAAGTTAAGCAAAGTATAAAATAACAGAAAAAATTCATTAAAAAAAAGACATGAGAATTGAACTGTTAAGTAATATCAGTTCTTCTATATGACAGTGAATGCTGGACAATCTCTTCGCAGATGAAGAAGAGAGATGTGAGAAGGATGCTGAATATACAATGGACCGATGATGTGATCAATGACAAAGATTTAGAGGAAATTGAAGCAAAATGGATTATTTATACATAACTTCAGAAAGAGACAGGTGAAATTTCTAGGGTTCATAATGAGGAAAGAGGGAAACAACGCATAACCCACAGAGCGAGACTGAGTAAATGGATGTTGGAATACGGTTTAGAAGAGATAACAAAAAGACAAACTTTATTAAGAGCTACAAAGGACAATTGTGGAGAGCCATGATTGCATACTCCCTGAAGGTACACGGCAAGAAGAAGGAAAAAGAAGAAGAAGGAAAAAGAAGATGAAGGGAAAAAGAAGATGAAGGAAAAAGAAGATGAAGGGGAAAAAGAAGATGAAGGAAAAGGAAGATGAAGAAGGAAAAGAAAGATGAAGGAAAAAGAAGATGAAGGAAAAAGAAGATGAAGGAAAAGGAAGATGAAGGAAAAAGAAGATGAAGAAGGAAAAGGAAGATGAAGGAAAAAGAAGATGAAGAAAAAAGAAGATGAAGAAGGAAAAGGAAGATGAAGGAAAAAGATGAAGAAGGAAAAGGAAGATGAAGGAAAAAGAAGATGAAGAATGAAAAGGAACATGAAGGAAAATGAGGGTGAGGAAAAAAGAAAGATGAAGAAGGAAAAGGAAGATGAAGGAAAAAGAAGATGAAGGAAGGAAAAGGAAGATGAAAAAAAAGAAGATGAAGGAAAAGGAAGATGAAGAAGGAAAAGGAAGATGAAGAAGGAAAAGGAAGATGAAGAAGGAAAAGGAAGATGAAGGAAAAAGAAGATGAAGAAGGAAAAGGAAGATGAAAAAAAAGAAGATGAAGGAAAAGGAAGATGAAAGAAAAGGAAGATGAAGAATGAAAAGGAAGATGAAGGAAAAAGAGGATGAGGGAAAAAGAAGATGAAGAAGGAAAAGGAAGATGAAGGAAAAAGAAGATGAAGGAAAAAGAAGATGAAGGAAAAGGAATATGAAGAAGGAAAAGGAAGATGAAGGAAAAAGAAGATGAAGGGGAAAAGAAGATGAAGGAAAAGGAAAATGAAGGAAAAGGAAGATGAAGGAAAAGAAGATGAAGGTAAAGGAAGATGAAGAAGGAAATGGAAGATGAAGGAAAAAGAAGATGAAGAAGGAAAAGGAAGATGAAGGAAAAAGAAGATGAAGAAGGAAAAGGAAGATGAAGGAAAAAGAAGATGAAGAAGGAAAAGGAAGATGAAAAAAAAGAAGATGAAGGAAAAGGAAGATGAAAGAAAAGGAAGATGAAGAATGAAAAGGAAGATGAAGGAAAAAAGAGGATGAGGGAAAAAAGAAGATGAAGAAGGAAAAGGAAGATGAAGGAAAAAGAAGATGAAGGAAAAAGAAGATGAAGGAAAAGGAATATGAAGAAGGAAAAGGAAGATGAAGGAAAAAGAAGATGAAGGGGAAAAGAAGATGAAGGAAAAGGAAAATGAAGGAAAATGAAGATGAAGGAAAAGGAAGATGTCGGAAAAGAAGATGAAGGTAAAGGAAGATGAAGAAGGAAATGGAAGATGAAGGAAAAAGAAGATGAAGGAAAAAGAAGATGAAGAAGGAAAAGGAAGATGAAGGAAAAAGAAGATGAAGGGGAAAAGAAGATGAAGGAAAAGAAAGATGAAGAAGGAAAAAGAACATGAAGGAAAAAGAAGCTGAAGAAGCAGCTTGAGTAAATGAATGGCGGAAAAGGATTAGGAGAAATAACAAAAAGACTAAATTTACTAAGAGTTACAAAGGACAGGAAATTGTGGAGAGCCATGATCGTCAGCGTTCTGAATGGACACGGAAAGAGAAGAAGAAAATTATTTGTATATTCTCACTACTGAATATATAGAGACAATCATCAGTGTGGAATTATGGAACTAATTTAAATATTACTGGTTTACACATAAAACAAAAACTAAGGAAACATTTTCCTGGGGTAATTTTTGTACATTAGCATCCATTAGACCTTCC